TTTAGGCTGCTTGCACAGCCCCTTTCAGCAGCAGCAGCTACAATTGTCCCTGCAGCCCAGATGACCTTCACCATCTTGATCCTTTCTTCAGACCAATATCTCTTTTTATGTGAAAGCCCTTACATGTGCAAAAGAAATGGTGTGCATGTGATTTGAGAAAATGAAGCTCTTGAAGCAACCCAAGCACCAGGCTCCTGTTGTTCTTCAAACCACACATCCCATTTTCATGGGATTTGGAGAAGTCTAGAACATTTCTAATGAGATGCCAGCTTGTGGAAGGAAAGGGGTGCCTGTTTGAAGAAGATGGGGGAAGCGTGGTTGCAGAGGAAAGGGAAGCCAGCTTGAAGAATGGTTTGAGGTGGTAAAGGTCAACTGGGCAGCAGGGGCAATTGGGATCACCGCTGGCAGTACCGCTGGGCAGAGCCAAAAGAGCCCTTACGGATGGGAGGGAGAATGAACCTTACCTAAACTCTACCTAACAATCCAGGTGATCACCTAACAACTGCAACTAGGAATGATGGAATTGTGGTCATTGAGTGAGGTGGTGATGTCAGTTGAGGATTACCTATGTAAGAGTAATGTTAGGAAATTCAATGATCTATACTTATATCCAGATTATCCACTTAATTAGGTGCTGCTTTTTCTGGGAGCAGTATCCATGTGCTAAATTTATTTTGTAGTGCTTTATATACACACTGAGACTAGTACTTTGTTTTTTTGACATGCCTGTTTGCGAATGAACAGGATTGCCCATATTTGTACATAAATAATAGATGGAGTTCTACCGAGAGAGATGCCTGGCTTGATAGACCTGGCAAACTTCATTTGGCCTCTTAAGCTTCATTTGGCCTCTTAAGAAGCCAAAAGTTTAGAAATTTTGTAACTGCTTAATCTGCAATTAAACATAAGATCATAGTTCTTGAGTAATCAGCAAATCTATTATCTTTTTTTCGGTTCTGCTTTTCTTAAAACATTAAAATAGTTTCAGATATTGCAAAAGATAAGAGAATGAACAAAGTATTGCTTTGGAAATAGTATTGTGAAATTATTATTTCTAATCAGATATTTCTGCAAGTTACTGTTTTACTGTAGTAGCTTAATATTTGTGCTATGTACCCAACTTGTTATTATTCTGTTTAGGACAGAAAAATCGTGTTGAAGCATTTGGTTTCCCTGACTATTCTATTTTTTGCTTTCAGTGAACTTCTTGAGTTTATTACAAGTGGCCCTGTTGTTGCCATGGAGATTTTGGGAGATGATGCCATAGGTAAATGGAAACAATTATTAGGGCCTGCAAATTCAATTGTGGCACGAACTGATGCTCCAAACAGCATTAGAGGACGTTTTGGAAGTGACAGCATAAGAAATGTGGCTCATGGCCCTGATTCCTTTGCCTCTGCTGCTAGTGTAAGTTTCTCAAATAAACATTTGATAGCTCATTCTGTACATGATTTGGTTTCTGTTAGCATATTATAAGAATATGTTTTCATACCTCTCAATTAAATTTATTTAACTGATTTAACTGATGTACGTAAATATGTAAACTGAACTTCTTTCTTTCTTTCTAAACTCTGTTGAAATTAGTTCTTTTGACCAGTAGTTATTGACTGGCCTTCTAATTCCATAGCTTTTAGCTTAGCTTTGATCAAATGAGGCAATCCTGCTAAGACAGTAGCAGATCCAAGGCATGTTATAAACAAATTACTTACACAAATATCTTAATATTGGGGCAAAATGTTTGCTTTTAGAAAAAATATTTAGTGATTTGTTATGTAGATTTCTTCTACAAATCAGAGTATTCTCTTGTCCAGTCCTTCACTTCAGATAAGTAAGTCTCATATCTTCCTGATTCAGGAAAATCACTGTACTGTGTAACTAATTATGTTTACACCACTTCATCTCATTTTTTCACTGTAAAGCCTCCCCTACATTGTTGTTACTTTGAATAATGGTAATATGATTTCAATCAAATATTGCCCTGAGCTGATAAAGGATTGCATGATAATATTCTAAATAAATGAAATAGTCAATCTTACAAGATAAAATAAGATATATAATGTATACTTCATTTTAATTTTCATCTTGTTAGAATTGAAACTATAAATAATAATGCATAGCCATATAGAATTTTTAAAAATAGTTTCTTAACTATTCATTGTGGTGGATTAAATAATCTTAAACAGATTAATTGGAGGCTCATCTGAAGGCAAAATTTCATTTGAGTCTTTCCAAGCTATAAGAAAACAGATTGGACAATATATTTGCATTTTACTTTCTGATGCCTGTTTTTCTTTCCATAGAAACATGTTTCTTGATGTTGATTAGAGGAGCTAAGAATAGTGCTGCTGGCAGTGTTTTAATTACTCCCTTATTTGTCCCTGCTGTGTATCCTTAAAAGTATTTTAATGTGGTATTATGTATTTAACAGTGGGATTATGGGTTGTGAAGAGTTAAAGAATCCATTAATTTATACATTGTTGAATGTTATACAACTATAAAATGGTATACCACATGTTCATACCATTGGAAATTTTTAAGTTTAAGAAATTATAAATTAGGATGACAAAAAAAGAGGGGCTAGTCCTTGGCACTTGAAATATCTTTCTTTTTGCTACTGATTTCCTCCTTCTCCCAATTTTCTTATCTTCTCTAACTTTCTCCTTGTTTTGTGTTGCTTGGAGAAAGAGAAATATTTATACTGAGATTACTTAGCAATCCAGGATCATTGTATTGTAGAAGACAATGGGCATTGTTCTTACTATTGGAGATAAGCGAAAACATCTGTCAGGACTGAGTTGAAGTAACTGGGAGAAATAACAGGTAATCCAATTCACAGGTGTCCTTGCTAGCCTGAGATTTTACCTCAGTGTCCTGTTCATGAGAAAACAGGCTACTAATGAGAAAAGAATATATATCTTGCAGAAGCTGTGTTGGTAAAGTAGAAGATAAATTACTTGGTTGTTTGCTTGTGAAGACCAACTTTGGGATAAAGAACTGGAAATTAATATCTCTGAATAAGGTATTAAAATTGCAGGTTTGAGAGAATAGATTCAGAATATGTACATACTGTCCAATTGAGCAACTCATGTAATTCCATGAATTTCATGTGGTTCCATGATTTCTGCTGATTGGATTTTTGAAATCGTGGTCCTAAGATTTTCTGTAGCTGTTGGAGAGGGGTTCTAGTACCCAATCCAGTCTGCGCTTTTTATTTAAAAAAACAACACAAGAGGAGGATCTCACCTCATCATGAAGAGAACCTCTGATGTTGTTCATGATTACGTTTCTCTCCCCAGTCAGCAGCTAGCCCTGTAAAAAGGCCCTCTGTTTTCTAGGAGTGGGCAGACAGGAAAACAAACAAAAGGGTATCTGTGCTGTAACAGATAAATAGGAAGTAGGACTGTGGTTTCAAGCTTATTTTTGTAATTTGGTTGGGGTTTTTTTGCTCCTTTCCCCTCATCTCTTTCTCTTTTTATTTATGTTGTTGAATCATCCGATTCTGGCTGTATTTTTTTTCTTTTTCATTAAATTATTAGCTCTGATTCTTTTCTGTCTCCCTTTTTCTGGTTCAAAAACACATATTCTCTCATTAAGATATTCAGCTTGCTTTGGGATTTGGATTGTTAGGTTTTTATTGTCTTGGGTTTTAAGCTTTTTTCATCTTTTCAGGCTGTTAAGACACCTGTTATAGCTTGCTGTTCTTTTGTTTCTTCTGGCCCACCTGGCAGTGGTGGCTAACCTTTTTGGGCTCCTGTGCCAAAAATTGTGCGCACGCTTGCATGCTTGCGCTCACCTGCCAGCACCCAGAAGGCAATGCATGCCCCCTCCACGCCCCTTATACATGCACATGCAATACCCATCCACCCACCCCCGCCGCCCCCTTACTTGGACTGCGCATCACAGCTGATTTTCAGCCAGTTTGAGGCCTTTTTCGGCCTCCCAGAGGCTTCAGGAAGGCTTCTGCAGGCTTCTCAGGCCGAAAACTAGGCCCGTTTTGTCACTTCAGTATTTCCGGATAAATAGGAAGTGATGAAATGGGCCGAATTTTCGGCCTGCAGAAGCCTGCAGAAGTCTTCCTGAAGCCTCTGGGAGGCCGAAAAAGGCCTCAAACCGGGTGAAAATCAGCTGTGAGGTGCGTGCACAGTGAAGTAAGTTTGCCTGCAGCTCACATGCCGGCACAAATGGCTCTGTGTGCCACCTGTGGTACGTGTGCCATAGGTTCGCAATCACGGTGATAGCCTAAAACTCTTTCAATACAGTCAGCAGTCCTGTGGCATTCAAGTTAGAAAGTTCCTTGTTTGCAAGATATGAGCATCTAGTAAGAAATCCAGTGTTATATAGTTTATTGTGAAAGATTGAGTGGTAATATAACAAAATAATGAACTCATCTATAGTTACAGCGCGATGATTGTGTTGTGGTGACATAGGCTGGTTTTCATGGTTTTCTCCCTGCCTATTCTTGGTAACGCAGTACTGAAATTTGCCTCAAATTTCTTAAGTTTTTTTTTCTGTGAAAGGTTTATTGTATCTTTTTCTTGGCATACAGGTAGTCCTTGACTTATGACCATAAATGAGCCTGAAATTTCCAATTCAACTAGATAGTTGTTAAGTGAAATTTGCCTCATTTTAGAAGTTTTCTTGCCACAACTGTTAAGCGAATCATTGCGATTGTTAAGTTAGTAATACAGTTCAGTGAATCCGGCTGAAATGAACAAGCCATTGACTTTGCTTGTCAGAAAGTCTCAAAAGGTGATCACATGACAATGGGACACTGCAACCTTCATAAATACATGCCAGTTGCCAAGTGTCTGAATTTTGATCACATGATACAGGGACACTGCAATGGTCATGTGGAAAATGTGTGTTTTTTCAGCGCCTTTGTAACTTTGAAAGGTCACTCAATGAATGGTTATAAGTCAAGGACTACCTGTATTTGAGAATTTTTAAAAAATTGGTATTGTTTTGGATCTGTGTTGGAAGTCTATTGTCTATGCTAAATGATAGAACAGTCAGATGAGGCACTTTCAAAAATATGTTAAAAAATAAGGAATGGAAATGAATTAAATGAAAACCAATGAATCTGACTATTGTAATCTCAGTGTTTTGAGACCCTACAAATGTATATATTTAATTCCTATTATTTCCAGGAACTGGAATTATTCTTTCCTTCCAATGGAGGCCGTGGACCCACTGGCACTGCTAAGTATACACATTGTACTTGCTGTGTTATTAAACCTCATGCAATTAAAGAAGGTTGGTTATATACCTTGCAGAATCAATACAAATACATTTTGGTCCTCTTTTTGTCTAGTTAGTAGCCATGTAAATTATTTCCACAATGGTACCTTAGCCTGGTTCTAAAAAGCAATGCTGTTTCTTTTTTGTTAATGTTAATATTTATAGTTGCAGAGATAAAGACCTTTTTTCCTATTGCTGCTCATCATTTTTTTCCTTCTTTGACAAAAGTCTTTTTTACCAGCAGATTGTTTAGCAGTTAGGCTCAGATAATTTCCAGCTGACCTGCTTGCAGAATCAGATGGAGATGTTCTCTGTATGCAATTAAAATACATAAACCACATAAATAATTATTTGGGTTAACAGGTTTTGCAGAGATGTTGGCAAGAGAATGCTGTGCAAAACCACTTTGACCTTCATAATTTTTAGACTATGGTATGATAGTTGCTTCTTCCCAGAATATATCAGTAAAATCCTTTAGTACAAAAGTAACTACAGCATATAAGAATAGTAGATGCTTTCAAATGAGAAAGAGGTGTTTAATGGGGTTTGTAGAGTATGTTTGATCATTTGAAATCCTTTTTTAAATTTTGGAACTAATTTGATTTTTGCAAATAAAATTAGCTCATTGCATTATAAGAAAATATTTAACACTCTGCAACTTTAATATTAATAACTTCCCAATCTGGGCACCTTTTAAAGGTATGGACTTTACAATTATTATTAATGATCTTCTGGCTGGAATATTCTAGGGAAATTGAAGAAGAAAGTATATCTGAAGGACATCCAGATTACAGAAAACTGCTATTTTCCACTATTCTTTTTCAAAAGATTGACTTAATGATTTAAACTCATTCTTTCAAAACTATGGTACAGTAATCCTCTTACTGACCATAATTGGAACCTATAACTGTTGCTGAGTGCCACTGTCATTAAGTGAGACATCATGTGACCATGCTGGACTTGTATATAATATAATACAGGTATATCTTGACTTACAACCTTTCATTTAGTGGCCATTCAACTTTCCAATGGCATTGAAAAAAGTGACTTATCTCCATTATTCATGCTTACGATCATCCTCACACTCACATTAGTAAAATTCAGATTCTTAGCTACTGGCTCAAATTGCTACTGGCAGTTCCTGGGGTCACGAGATCACTTTTTGCGGTCTTCTAACAAGCAAAAGTCAGGAAGTCAGATTCACTTAACAGTCGTGTTATCAACTTAACAACTATTGTGAATCACTTAACAACTGTGGCAAAAAAAGGTTGTAAAATGGGGCAAAATTTACTTAACTATCTCACTTAGGAACAGAAATTTTGAGCTCATAAATTGAGGATTACCTGTATAATATAGTATTGATAAGAAAGACAAAGTTTTTCCTTTGATCAGCTTTAAATCTTCCAGTGCTCTGCATTGGATGGTCTCTGGTCCTAGGATTTTGAGAGACAGAGTAAAATTTATCCAAGGCCACTTCCTCCATGCAATGCATAAATTTTAAACCCTGTGTTCATATTTCTCCTATTTCTGTTTTCCTGAGCTAAAAAACTTCAAACATCCAAGAGGTGTTACAGTGTTGACAGTGTTATTTTCAACCACTTTTCTAATTCTATGTAGGGTGGCATTTGTCTTTTAACACTACCATACACTGAGCTGACATTATTGAACCTGTCCACTGGGAGCACCTGTTATGCATCAACACTTAAATTTAGAATTTGCAGGATGGATATCAAAACAGAACACCACCAAAGGAGATGCCATGATAGCAATGATCTTTTGATAGTTTATTAATTAAATGTCCCAAATATGGTCACAGTGCTGATTCTGTGGGCAAGTCTTATAGTTCTTTGCCTTATTCCCCTACTTCTAAAAAATCCCGGCACTGAGATAACTAAGTGGAAGGAAATTGATATTTGTGTTTACATATTGTGAAAAAGAAAAGAATGCAAAATTGTACATAAGCACAAAGTTGGGAATTCAGATTGATAGGAATGCTGTTCCCTCCAGCTGTTCACCTAAAGTGCTTATAACAGCAAGCCACCAGCTGCTCTGGAGGCAAAAGCTGTCAGCTATTAACTTGTTAATGTCAAGGCAAGGTTTTTGTTGGTTGCTAGCAGCAGCGCAAGCTGCGCCCAAGATAATTAATTTGCTTAAAGTCATGGACTACAGCTTCTTTGCTTGTTTTTGTTAGTGCTTATTAGGGAAGTGCTGCGTGGTGGAGAAAGGTCAATAAAAAAAATAGTTTGTTCAATCAATCTCTCTGATTTGCAAGGAGAAAAAATAAACTGCCCATTCATCTAACTCAGGGGTGTCAGACACGATTACATGGAGGGCTGCATCAGGGTTGTGTTTGACTTTGGGGGCTAGGGTGGGCATGGCCAGCTTGACGTCAGTCCTGTTGGGGGTACCGATGGTGGCCCGGGCACTCTGCCAACAAAAACAGGCTCTCAAGCTCCATGATCAGGGCTTCTTGCAACCCTTTGCCAGTGAAAAAGGAGCTTGGCAGGGCCACCCTGGAAACAGCAAAGGACCAACCCTTAAAGCTTCTGCCAACGAAAACGGTCTCCCAAGCTCCTTTTTTGCTGGTAGAGGGTTGGAGGAGGCCATGGCAGCCAAAAACTGAGCTTGGGCGGCCATTTTATAAGGGCTGATCCTTTGCTGTTTCCAGGGCCAGATCTAAGTACCCTGCAGGCAGGATCTGGCCCCCGGGCCTTGAGTTTGACACCCCTGATCTAACTGAAAGATCTTTCTAAAGATCTTCAATAATGTTGGGTTTTTACCATCCTAACTAGAGTTATGTGTTTTATATCACCCACATACTAGACTAGCTCATTGCTTACATCAAGATTATTTATGATTCATTTAAAAATTACTAATCTCAACATAGACCTTTTACTTCTTATTTTCTTCTAAAAAAAACCTTGCCCTTTGATTTCTAGTCATTTGTTTCTGTTCAACCAATTAGCAATTCTCTTATCCCCTGACTGCTAAGTATACTAAACAACTTTTGATGAGAAGCCCTCATCAAAATCTACTATTTTTTCTGGGGAACTACTATTTTTGATGCTGGATGTTTGATGCAGGCTCTGTTTTCACTTGGGTGTCTTTTGGGGCTCACAGCTCCTGTTCAGATAGCAGATAACAATTGTGATTTGGATTTATTTCTGTTGGTGAATTTGCACCAGTTCCATAAATCATTCATGCTCTGGGCACTTCCCCAATGAATGTTGTAATATACTGTACATGTGGTTGCTTTTGAAGAAACTGCAACTAATGCAAAATGCTGTGGTGAAGGCAGTTATAGGCCCTCCACAACCAGCATATAACCTATGCCCTCAGGGCTGCAGTGGTTGCCAGTTTTCTTCTAATTTCAATTTAAGATGCTGTACCCTACCTGGTCTGGCAGAAGAACCTTTTTATGGGCTACATCTATTAAGAAGTGACATCCGACAGGACCCAGGAGGAGAGCCTTTTCTGCTTTAATACCTACCTCTAGAACATCTTCCTCCTTAAGATAGAGTAAAAAGGAAGAAAAGAAAGGAAATGAAAGAATAAAAGAAATGTATAAGGAAAAGATTTCCAATCATCATCACAAATATAAATACATGCAGTAATCTTCACCCCTATAAGGCTACAAACATATCTCTTTTAACCACAGCCTATCCCATATCTTAAATTTGCAAGACATCAATTTTTCAATCCTGGTGTCAGCAAAAATGTTAGCAGAATTCATAAAAATATGTCTTATTTTAACTTTGATCAAATAAACCAACTTTATAATCCTTTTATCTCTTAAAATCTAAATCTTTAATTCATTCAAATAAAAAGATTTTATCTCTGTCCAATTCTTGTCCCATTGCATAGGTTTCTTTGAGACGTTAACAAACCTTTTTTGTAAATCCAATAAAAATGTATTACTCAGATCATTTTCTTGAGAAACAGGGTAATCGAGTGAACAAAAAAGTAGTGGGAACTGGATTGACTTCTAACTTCCTTCCCCATTGACTTTTCGTGTGAGGATCTGGTAGGAAGCATCAGAAATCCTTCCCTCCCTTTCCAGCAGGCAGGTAAATGGCTACTGCTGGGTGGGAGAGGGAGTGAGGGATTGTGAGACTGGCTGGGAAATTATCATAGAGCATTGCAAATAAAAATCATGTGACTGCAGCAGCAGCCCAGCAGTGCTGCAGCAGCCAATAGCACTGAAACAGCCACAATTTCCCCAAATATCTGTCTCTCTTGAGTCATGGATCCTGGATTTTAGACACATTCTGTAAGTTAGCCAATTTGAGGTACCTTGTTCAGAAATAGATGATGCAAACAATTTTGCCCAGGTAATTATGTCTGTTTGGCCCAGGTAAAGATCATGACAATGAAGAGTTTTACTAGTAAAGTTTAAATTAAACGTATAACTTCATTTCTGTACATGTAATCATAAGCTCCACACATTTCTGCGCTCATTTAGATTCTGGAGAAACATCACGCACACACATACACATAACTCTGTTTTATTTATGCCTTTAGTTACCTTTCTTATATTTCAAATTATTGTATTCTTTATGCCATGATTATAATCTCATGGGCCTATTGATAATTTTGTTTACCACTCATTATAGCTTTGGTCTTCATGTCATATCAAGGCTTTCATGTCATGTTTACTTTTTAGTAATAGATAGACAAACTAGGGTACCAGCCTTAAAGCCCATCTATAGAGACAGTGCATTAATGCAGCAGTTTTTTCACACATTACAATTGTTTATTGATCAACTGTTGACATGTAACTTGAATCTGCATAACAAACCTTTATTTTCTCCCCTCCCATCTCATCCCGAAATAAATCCTATATTAGTTTAACCCACAGATGTCAAACTCTCCTTGTGATGTTGCCGTCACATGATGTTTCACGATGTTTTTCCCCTTTGTGGAGCTGGGTAGGCATGGCCTGCATATGGCACATCCAGCCCGTGGGCCTCCAGTTTGACACCCTTGATCTAACCACTCTTTAAATCTGATGAAATGAGCTTTAGCTTTATATAAACTTTAAGCCTTTTAGTGACATTTGTTAGTCAGAAAAGGTGTTCACAAACTTCTGATCATTTGTCACTACAGACTAACATCACTTTCCTTTTATTGGTTTAAAGGGTAGATTAACCTCTAAAAGATTCTTTGAGGGAGGTGGAGAACTAACAGTAAAGCATGCCTGGCTTGTACAACCATCACATCAGTGCATATACTTTAATAATGATTTGTGGAGACAACATTTAGAAAGTTAAAAGTTTTAGCCAAGAGAAGCCAATAGCATTGTACAACTATAGGGGCAGCAGCAATGCATGGCCCTATTCTGGATTCTGTTAACATGGTGGCAGCAGAATTATAGGGTAATAGGAGACCCATCTGGCTCTGGAACAGAATGAAAAGATAGTAAAGAGTGCTTGTGTAGTATCACCAATTTTACGTGTGGCATTCTCACATAACAGACAATATATGTCAGGTTTAATACACTGTGTCTAGTATGCCACAACTGCAACCAAAGCCAAGTTTTATCTCAAGCAAGCTAGGCCTACTAAATATAGACTATCCAATTAGTATTATTAACTAGGAGATACCCACAGAATACTATGTGATTTTCAAAATCTGATTCACCCTCCCACAACCAAGTATCATAGACTTACAGTACGTGTAAATCATGGTCTACCTGTATTCTGTAAATTACACATATTTTTATTTGCTTTAAGCAGAGAAGAAATCCTACTCAGCTGAGCACCTCAGCTCAAAAGTTTGACTAGGTGTGTCATACATATCTCTGTGTCAGATACATACATATTAGTCCAAATATATTCTGGATTTTAAAAAAATAATTACATTATAAGAACACCTTAACTCTCAAGCATTTAATATTTTAAAAACTATTCTTAGGTATCTGACCATTCTTCCTCCCCATTTTTTGTTTTAATGCAGGAGTAGCTGGAAAGATTATAAAAGCAATTCTTGATGGAGGATTTGAAATCTCAGCCTTGCAGATGGTAACTTATTTTCTTTTTATTCAGCTCTTGTGGAAGTAGGAGGTGGAGAGAAAATTCCACATTTACCACTTTCTGTTTCTACTACAGAGCCACGCCTTAATCCATTGCACCTGGGAACAAACATGTCGGCCTTGACTTTCAAGTGATTCTCAGCTGAAACAGCTGCAGTCAGAAATGTAGCCGCTTCCTGCAGCTTTGCTGTTTGTGGTGTCTTGTATCAGGCTTTCAAAACTTTATCTTGCTAAGCAAAGGAAATCAGTCTTTTCATTTTAGTTAAACAAAAAATGGACAGACTTCAAATTTGCTGAATTTATTTTGGTTTTTTTCTTAGAATTCCCAGATTATCAGCCAAAGAAAGGTGAAAATGACTTAAAACTGGATCCGGTTGTCCCTGAATGTATCAGGAAACTAGCAAAACTAAACTGAGCTCAGTTTTTTTCACATGCAAAACCCATGTTTGTTCATTGCAGGAGTTAATTTACATAGAAGAAAGCATTTTTCATTGTGGCTGCTGCTAAAGCATTTCAAGATCAGGGCTGCTTGCTCACTTGCTACGGTTTATTTGGATTTCCATTTACAAAAGCTGATTTGCCTTCCATCTGGTAGATCATTATACTTTTCCACCAGCACTGACCACTGAGGCAACTTTTAAGGGTGATAATTATTCCCTTTGAATTTGTTGAACACAAATCAATAGAATCTTGATATAAATAAGGTGTATTGAGAAACATCTGGCTACTTCTCTTCCAGAAGAGAACAAGCAAAAGGACCCATAGCCAACCCTAATCAATTATGGGTAGCTTTTTAAAGAGGCAGTGATCAGATTGGTTCTGAAGAAATATCTCCTTAATAAGATGGTAATTAGAATTAGCGAGCAGCTTACCCCACTTTCTCAGAGAAAATAGATTTGGTGGTTGCTGAACAGTTTCAGACATTCTTAAACTGATTTTTTTTTTGATCCATTAAGGGCAGCTGCATACCTGATTTGGAATAAAAAAAATGGTTTCTGGACTGCGTTCAAGTGTGGCAGTGCTGGAACTCATGATCTCCCAGGTTCTAGCCTAACTCTTTAAACATTACATCGGCTGACTCTACAAATACATGCTTAGATATTACAATTAAAACTCACTAGTCAGTGATAACTGCAATAATATTTTACAAGCATTTAAAATTGATTTGACATTAACATAATTTTTAATAAAGTAAAAGGAAACAAAAGCATTCTACAAAAAGCATTTAGAAAGCCTCCTCTCTTTTCCCTGCCCGCATTCTTTCCTTCTCTCAATGTATTGTGAACTTACTTAAATTTTAATCAGTATAAATAATTGAATTATATAGAAAGTTAACAACGGTCATGAGCCTTGTGCAGCCTGAAAATCGACACAAACTTTTTCTGGAAGACAGAGTGAAATCTTAAGTCTTTTGTGGAGAAAGGTGCTGCTTTATGCCTAGGAGGCTCTGGGTTTGCACCTAGTGTGTCTACTCTGGAGTAAGTTAATAACTATAAGGCTGGGAAAGGACTGTCTGCCTGCTCCAGGAGCTCCCACTGAGTCTGTGTCAAGGCTTCTGGCAAATTGTCAGCCCAGACTTTTGTGATTCCTGAATTTACTGTATTATTAGTTTGAAGGAAATGTTATATGTGCTTAGCTTTTTACTATGTGGTTTGATGAATGGTGCACACATGCATATTGTCTGTCAGCTTATTTTCCAAAGAAGAAATAGCCTTTGCGTGATTGAAAAACCACACAATTCCTATCAGGGTTGTTCTTGAATAGAAAAAGGGCAGCTGTAATTGTTAGGTAGTTTTTAAGTATTTGTAAGACAATACTAGTTCCATAATTCTGCTCCACAGAAACTCAATAATTAGACTATTTCTTTCTGTTTTATATACAGTTTTATATGGACCGAGCAAATGCAGAGGAATTCTATGCAATCTACAAAGGTGTTGTTTCTGAATATTCTGTAAGTAAATAATGAAATCTGTTTCCCCTCCTTTTTAATGCAGGGCTGTTAGGAATTTAAGTCACCTAACAGCTATTTGGGCTGGAAGTATATAAACCAGGATAGACATTTTAATACTGTATCTTTAAGAGAGTCCTGGAGGTGTAATTGGGTGTGGTTTCTCAAATGGCCATAAGATGGAGCCGGAAACCTGGGTTGTCTCTGTTTCCTTCTGTTGGAGAGTTTTGCCCTTCCTCTTAATTGACTGCTATTCCTGGATTTGATGTAAGTCTGATACTGAACTGTTTTTGACACTGGACTTTGTTATTGGATTATCCCTGGACTAAAAACTGACTGATCTTACCTGTGAATGACTTTGGACTGCCTATTTTGAACTTTGCTTAAACGTTTCTGGAAGTACAAACCTACATTTACTGTACAGTGTATCTGTGTGCTGTGTGTGTATTATTCAACACTTCTCTCAATACGTCTCCCTGTATGTGCTCATTCTCCTAACGGGGAATTACCTCAACAAGGACCATCCTTTTTGTATAGTAGTGGTCAGGATTACTACTCATAGTTATGATTGTTTTAAAATTTGCTATAAAATAAACCACAATTTATTGGAGAGATAAACTGTACACATATTAATTTTGAATCAACAGTGTGACATACATAAATTATCTGCACTTTTGGATAGTGGTTTTCCAGGCTAAAAGGTACTCCCATTAGTAACATTATGTTGTCGGTGAGAAACATCAAAATTCTTAATTTTTAAAATTATGATAAATTTTCAAAAATTCCAATTCCTTGCCTCCTTTAAAAATCCTTCTTGCATTTTTCTGGCTTACCTTAAAAATGGATCAAATCCACAAACTAGCAAGTTAATTCTTTTTGTGGCCTCTTTTCCCCCATTCGGGAGGGACTGCTTGGCATACCTTTTGCCTTCCAGACCTTTCTTCAGTCTAATATGTCATTACAATCTTTGCAATTGGGAAAGGACTCTCAAAAGCAAATTTTGTTGGTGTGCTACATTTGCAGTATTTGCAGGATTGCCACACTTCACAATATTTTCTGAAATGCCGCTACACATTTTGCTCTACAAAAGTTGGATACATTTATGTACCCATTCTATGTTTATTCTGCCATGCCCCAGTATGGTTCTTTGCTGTTAACAAAATGCACATAACATTTAAAACATCCACAGTTTAAATACCAATGGTAAATTTAATAAAAAATGACGAGTCAATAATGAAATATAACAGACTGAATTAATACTTTTCTATTAAGAACCAACAAACTCAATAGATAGTGTCATTACGAAACATGACCACTCTAAGAAAAAACTCAATTTCCAGATTCCTCCTAAAGGAAAACAGGAGATGAGCTAGTTTAATTTCACTTCAATTTTCAAGGCCATCATGTCTAACTACTGTATATTTTCCTCAATATTTTCAACCTTGGGTTTTTAGACTCTTGTCATAAACAGTGCCCCATTATTTGCATGCTCTATCAATTTCAAATTGAATTTGATCATAAAACTCATCCATCTTTCTTTCCTGCATCCATAGTTGAAGTATAAACTTGGATACACTTGTCAATTATGTCTAATTGATGACATCTGGTCATTGATTGCTTTGTAACCAAGTAGTTCTTATTGTCTTCTTAACTATGAAAACAAGACCATTCCTTGTTTTTTATGTCCTGATAGTAAACAGTGTAAACTTCTGACTAAAAGTATTCAATTCCAGTCCATCTCAATTTGCTGATCTTAAGATACCGATGTTTAGTCATTTATGTTCATATTTTATTGAGTTTTCCCAAAGCTTTGGGTTCCCTTTTCTTGTATTGCAACTAGAGATTCTGTAGGCTTTAACCTGGCAACATCATAAATACATTTAATACTCTAAAAGATTCTCAACTTGTTCATCAGGGTGTTGAATGCCATCCCTTTTGATGAATCCATTATCTGTCATTATATCATCAGTCATTTTATATTCCCTATCTGTGTGGTTGTCTTGGTAAAATACCAGAGTAAGTTGTTACAGCTTTCTACGCAATATGAAATGTACAGCTTGTAGTGTGTTGGGCTTTTCAAAATGCAAAACAAGCTAGTGGAGATCACTCTATCTTGCCATACGTTTGTAAAAATAAATTTCTCAGATGTTGGGGAGGGACTTTGCTTGTGATTAATGTTTATTTATCCCAAAATCATTTAGGATAAAAACCAAAGTCTAGTCCAGAGGATTTTTGAAATCTTGATGGTGGAAACAATGATTAACCAAAAAAAGACATTGATAATAGCAATATGTGAACGAAACAACAAGCAAGACAAATTCTATCAAGCATTACACAAGGATTTGTTTGCTTATTTCTGCATCCCTGCTTTTTGATTACTGGGATTTCTGTAAAATAATCAACTTAGTAATAGACCCATACAATTTTCAATAATGTGCCTTCAGAACAATGTGAATAAGTTGGTGTTTTTTTTTTTTTCTGGTTACAGGAGATGGTTGTAGAGCTCTGCTCAGGACCTTGTATAGCTCTAGAGATTCGACAGATAGATCCTGAAAAAGTGTTCAGAGACTACTGTGGCCCTTCTGATCCTGTAAGTTACTTATTGAGCAATTAATTTCATAACGAAATAAGACTGGTGAGTGAGGTCTGTGAATGTATATCTCTTTACTTTCACCTTTAAAGCAGCTTGGACTGGAGATCCACTTTTGGTAGATTGTAGTGTTGTACAGAACAGTTCACTCACCTCTTTTGTTGGGTCAAAATTTCTCTTCCTGTATGAAAACTATATACTGGCATAATAAAGGTGCTAATATTTTCCTTTCTTTGCCAATCTATTAAAGGACCAAGAACAAATTTGCCAAATTGCATACGTACACATTTAGGGGTACAACAAAATGAAATGTTATGTTTTGAATCCAGACAAAATGCTTTCCATAAATTGAGGAATATCATTGTTCTTCAAAACAAATAAAATTCAGAATGTCTCAGTTGAAATCCAGAATGTTGGATGAAACAACATTTGGAGAGGTTGCACAGGACTTTTACAAGGCAAATAGAATGGTTAATGTGTTTCACCCTTTCTCTTCACTCTTCTCATCAGCCACTCCCAATAAAACTCATTGTTTTATCCATCTCCCTAATCTTCCTTCTGTCTCTGTTTTGAGCTTTCACTACAAATGACAGCAGATCTCTATGTTCTCATAAGACTTTTCCTTTGCCTCCCTTCCCTTGGGAGCCACCATCACCACCACAACCAAGATTCACAATGTTCTTACCCAAATTACTCATATTCAGAACCGAAATTTTGATTCAGATCCAAAACAAAATAGCCACCTGCGTCGCAAAACATTTTGCACATTGTAGTTTCAAACAAGTTGTTAGCATTAAATATGCTACTGTTGCTTTTTTACTCAAAATTAGAGCCTTGCAATTTTGACTTTAACTTAAAAAAAAACTTGGTAGTTCTCCTGGGAATTGATATACTTTTGATGTAGCATGTATAACAAGATTATGACACAATGTTTTTAGGCTTTTCCTTAGCAAACTTAACAAATAATCAGGCATGCACAGGATACAAGAACTTTTGATTTATATACAGCTGTATATACATTCTTTTATTTAGTTATTTCAGTAGGCAGATTCTAATTGATAATTTTTCAATTGTAGTTTTTAATAATTTCAAGGAGATAGTTGTAGGCATAGGAAACAAACATTAAGCCGAAAGCATGTTTTATGTTTGCTGTGCTATTATTTATATATGCTTTCAATGCACTTAGGAGAGACTTGACTCCAGCCCATTAAATATATGTACAGGGATAATAGAATTTGTTGTTCTATATACTGGTATGTGGTTGGTGCCAGTTTGGAGAAAGCTAATTTATGAAATTGGGCATGGTATATTTATTTGTTATTGGTAAAGTGAAATATATGCATCTGAAATATAGAAGGTAACTGCTTGCGATGAAAAAAAGGATAATCCTTTGGTTTTCTAGTGGTTTATCAGCTAGCCATAAATTTCCGCTATTGCTAATTTTTAGATTTTTTTCCGCTATTTTAAGCTATGCAGGATTGTGTAGTTTATGCTTGCATCAAGCATCAGTTTAAACTGATTGTGCTAATGTGAAATTAATTCTTGGTATGTAATCCATAGATGATTGTCATAATTTTGTTTTATTTATTTGTTGCATTTAGATCTCATTTCAATACAATCACTATTTCTTGGTCGACTGTTGCAATTTTTGACATAAGCTTATCTTGCATTCCAAAATTTTAAATTAAACGTTTAGGTGCTGAATCACAAAATATCAGTGATTATGTGTTAAATATTAAAATGCTAGGAACTATCAAGATAACATAGATATATTGCCTAAGCAACAACCATTACAATATCTGATGCCTTCCCCCCCCCCCCACACACACACAAAAGTGAACTCTTCTATTTCTAGATTAGACTGCAGTCCTTTACCTATTTATGTAGGCTTAGGACCTTTAAAATCAGTAAGACTTCCATCTGAACAGGTGCAAGCTTATACTACAGTATATAAGCATGGGAGAGGAGTGGGGAAGCAAGTGATAACACATGTGAGCCACCATCAAATATACATCATGCATATTTCACAATACACATTTTACCATCGGATGTCATAAGGTCATTACATAACCATGTAATGACATTCTGATACATGTGTCATGCTTTTCACATTATTGGTGCTTGTTGTTACTATATGTTATAGGATTCTTGCCTTAAAACAGTGGTTCCCAACCTTTTTTTCACCCCGCACCCCTAAAGAAATTTCACTCGAACCTCGCACCCCCTGGAATAAAAATGCCAACATATAGCCAATGTCCTATTATTTACCTGGACTTTTCTCGCACCCCCTGGAATATCGTCTCGCACCCCCGGTTGGGAATCCCTGCCTTAAAACAATTACTGATTTCTGGCATAAAATAGCTAAATGAGCTATGGCAAAAAAAAGTTTCTGATGTCATTTCTGCTATGAACTACTTAGGTGACTTTTAGCTAGCAACTGTATCTTAATTTCAACTTCAGTGTTAAAGTCCTAATGTATTAGAAAATATTTATTTTCAGTATTAAAACTTGCATACCATATACCTTCAAAGGTCTATGTCAGTTAAAATAGTTCTGTTAGGAATCATAGAATATTAAAATCAAACTATATGTACCAATAACAACTCCCAAAACCAGAAAAAAACAAATTACCCATAACAATAAGGAAGCTCCAATCCAAAAAGAAATCCTTTTGGTGGAAAAACAAATCTGGTCATGTTGCCAACTTTAAAAGCCAATACAAAAATTTATGCCACCAGATAAAGACTGAATGTACCAATTATCACACTAAACAAGAGGAAAACCTTCTATGCACCAATTCCACCCGCGCTTTCTACAATTTTGTAAACAACAAACTAAAAGACTCAAAGTTCATCCCACCCCTAAAAGAACCAAATGGTAAAGGCTGCAACGATGACACTATTAAAGCCAACCTCTTTAACACATTCTTTGGCCCAGTATTTGTAAACAGTGATGGATCATGCCCAATATTTCTTAGTCGAACCAAGACAACTACAATGATCTAATACATATTGATTTTACAGAAGACAATGTTGAAAAAGCACTACGCAATCTAAAACCATCTTTATCTATTGGACTGGACGGAGTTTGTGCCTACTTCTTAAAAAAGCTATCCACTGCCATAGCTGAACCTTTAAGCATAATCTTTGAAAAATCTTTCAGGACCAGCTCCTTGCCAGATCTATGGTCACTAGCCACAGTCATTCCCATCTTCAAAAAGGGAGACCACAGGACTGTAGTTTGAGCTTCTTCGGCGAGAGACCGAAACCGCAACTCGGCACGGTTTCGATCCGTGCTCGCCGCTGGAGCGCCCTGAGCTGGCTGGTTTTGGGGGTAAGCCACCCCGTAGAGGTTGTGAAGAAGGGGGAGACTGCCTGCAGGGTTGAGGAGAGTCGCATCTCTCCTCCTCAGCTGGCCATTACTCCCTTTCCCGAAGGCGGTTATAGCGGTGGTCAGAAATGGCCACCACAAAGAAGAACTCGACCGGAAAAGAATGTGCAGGAGGAAGATAAGAAGAGAAAGTTTTGGTTGACCGGGTCAAACAGCAAAAGCAACAAATAAGGTATCCTGGAATTTAAACTATAAAAAAAATATAACACTGTTCCCAAAGAAGCTTTTTAAGCAGTGAAGGAGAGAGAAAAGGGAAAGGATTTGGTTTTTTCTCTCTCCTCCTTTTCCTTTCCCTATACTGACAGCTAAGAGACTTAAGCAAGAAATTGGAAAAAAATCCACTTGACATTAATAGGCATTTAATGCTGAAAATAAAAAGTCAAAGAGATAATAAAGATTTCTGGATACTTAAAAGCTTTTAAAAACAGGAAAGGAGAGAAAAAGAAAAAAAGGGCAGGATCCGGAAGAGAGGAGACTGCCTGGAATTAAAAAGTACTTACAGTAAAATCTCAACAAGACTTCTAAAAGATACATCTTAAATGAAACATGGCAACAAAATAGTAAAACCCCAGGAAGAGAAAGTGAAAAAATAAATAAGAAGAAACAGTTCGGGAGTATTTGGATTACTTGGTGATCTCTGGATTCTTGGTTACTGCATTTGAATGACTAAAATCAATTGGGTGGTTGTTTAAAAGTGTTTAAAATGGCTCCACTCTTAGAAGAACTGAAAATGGAACTTAAAAAGTACAAAGAAGATGCACAAGAAGGGAGAGGTTCTTTTGGCTTCGTATTTCGGTTCTTAGAAATGGAGATTTGGAACTATGAGAAACAACAAGAAATGCCTGCAGAACAAGAAGATTGGGACAAAGAAGAAGCCATCTTTAATGAACAAGTAATCTTAGGTGGGGGGAAAAAAGGAAAGGGGGGAAAGAGAATGGAAAGTTTAAGACTGGAAAAACAACCCCAAAAATAATAGATTGAAAAATAAGTATAAAATCAGAAAACAACAGAAGAGGGAAATGCAGAAGAGAGAATTAGAAGTAGAGAGACAAGGGGGTAAAAAGGGGAGGGAGAAAAAGAGAGGGAAGAAAGAAACAAAAAGAAGTTATAAAGGACAGAAACAAGATATAGAGAAACAGGGCCTATTTAGACATAATGGGTGAAAATCTAATTGAAAAAGGGATTATGCAAAGGTACATAAGATAGTATTGCTACATTAGAAATAGAAATAATTTCAGAAAATATGAAACAATGTATGATTAAAATATTTGATAAAATAGTTATCATAATTGAGTGAAATGTTTGTCAATAAATAAATGTAATAAAATGAATATTTAATGATTTATGAAACGTGAAGAGAAATAAGGGAAAAATTAATTAGGGGGTGATACGTGTCTTCAAGAAAGTATGATATTTAATTGAAAAGAAATGTTAAAGATGTTAAGACTTTAATGAATATTAATGATAGAACTGAATTGGAATGGAATGAGGGTTTTAATTACATGTATTTATAATTCGTTTTTTAAGAATATAGTGTGTATTATAAGAATGTACCAAGCAGAATTCGATTAGAAATTATGTATTATGTATTATATTGAATGTTACAACGT